GGAATGAGCTGATGTCACTGCAAGGCCACTGACAATGATCTGAATGATCATGGCAACTGGGGGAAGTGCCTGAGGGCTGGAAGAAAGCAAATGCCACTCCTGTCTTCAAAAAAGGCAAGAAGGAAGACCCCCAGAACTACAGGCTGGTCAGCCCCACCTTGACCCCTGGGATGGTGATGAAGCAGATAATCATGGGAACCATTTCCGGGCATATGAAGGACAAGAAAGTCATCAGGAGTAGTCAGAATGGCTTGATAACCTTCTGTGATAAAACGACTGCCTTGGTAGATGAGAGCAGAGCAAAAGGTATTGTCTACCTTGGCTTCAGTAAGGCTTTTGATGCTGCCCCCCATAAGACCCTCACAGACAAGCTGTCGATGTATGGGCCAGATGAGCAGACACGGAGGTGACTGGGGGCCACCTGGCTGGAAAGAAGGTTTGCAGAAAAAGACCTGGGTGTCCTGGTGGATGCCAGGCTGAACGTAAGCCAGCAACATGCCCTCGCAGCAAAGGCGGCAAATGGTATCCTGGGCTCCATTAGACCGAGTATTGCCAGCAGGTCGAGGAGGGTGATCCTTGCCCTCTACTGAGCACTTGTGAGGCCACACCTGGAGTACTGCGTCCAGTCCTGAGCTCCGCAGTCCAAAACAGACATGGAGATACTGGAGAAAGTCCAGCAAAGGACCACCGAGATAATGAAGGGACTGGAGCATCTCAAAATGCCTATGATGAAAGGCTGAAAGAGCTGTGACTGTTCAGCCTGGAGGAGAGAAGGCTCAGGGCAGGGGATCTTATTAATGTATATAAATACCTGAAGGGAAGGTGCAAAGAGGAAGGAGCCAGGCTCTTCTCAGTGATGTCCTGTGCCAGGACCAGAGGCCATGGCCACACACGGAAACACAGGAGGGTCCTGGAACATCAGGAAAAACTTTTTTACTGTGAGGGTGACAGAGCACTGGCACGGGTTGCCCAGGGAAACGGCATCATCTCCATCCTTGGAGATATTCAAAAGCCATCTGGACATGGTCCTGGGCAACCAAGCTCTCAGTGGCCCTGCTTGAGCGGGGGGATTGGACTAGATGACCTCCAGAGGTCCCTTCCAAGCTCAACCATTCTGTGATTCTGCACAGCTATCAGCAAGAAGAACAGAAGCTCTAGCTTTATTTCAGGTGGGCTCACGTCTAACTGATTAATATATCCCTCTGTCTATCAATGGCTGTGTCTCTTCAGCTTAATTTTAAGCATGTGCTGAAATGTTTTGCTTGAATGGGCGCTTGTATTCACAGTGTGGCTGCTGATGCTGCACTGCTTTGGTGCCAGGCCACCTCTGATTGAAATTAAGGCAAATGGGACACCCAAGTACTTCTGTGGATGATGAACTTAAATCCCTCCCATCAGTGCCATGGCAGCCATTCTGCACTTCCCTTGTGAAAAGGGAATGAAAAGCCTATAGTTACTGTGAAACCTGGAAAGTGCTTTGAGATGCACAGATAAAACCACACCCTACTGTTCATTATTGTTATAATTATTATCCACTCTAATATACCCACTCTATAATTATTATCTATTTTTCTTCCTAATGACTCATAACCTTCTGTAGTTGTGCATTTGGGAATTTCACACCACACCAACCGTTTTGCTTTTGCAGATTTTTTTTTTTTTCACTAAGGTTTTTAAATAATGATCAGTACAGTACAAAGCTTAAAATGTTGTCAATGTTTTCAACAATACAAAGTCAGCAGATGGGAATTGGGAAGGGGATGGTTAATACGTAACACTCATGCCCTTCCCTGTTTCCCAGGGAAAAAATACAAACTCTATTGTACTCCTGTTTAGTAACAAACAGTGCTTAAAAATCATCTTGTCAGTAAAAGATGTAAATTGCAAGGCACATGAGGAACCTGTCCTTGCCTTGTTACATAAATCATTAGGCATAAATACAAATTTAAGGCACCTCTCTCCATCCTCCCCTTCTGCTCCGTACACCAAGCAAATCCTGTCAGTGGGTATCAGCTGTTAAGGGCATGCATGGACAGGCACACAGCAAAGCGGCTGCCTCTGAGCCCTGGGCTCCTTCAGGATGAATCCCAAAAAGGAATAGCATAAGGCACATTGGGATGAATTCTCAGTTGTCCTGTACAGATCCAGGTTGCAAGATCTGCAAAAATACTGTCTCAGGACTAGAGATTCCTGGGGAAGAGGGTTGCAACCTCAGTCCCTTCAGGATCTTGGATGTGCTTAACCTTTGGTGGTCAGCTCTTCACCAAACCCTGCTGCTGGTACACCCCTCCCAAACCGTGCCTCCTTGGAGGAACACCAGGATGGAAGGTGGTGTGCTCCACGCAGTGAGCTCAACGAGAAGGCCCTGAGAGGCTCTCAAACAAGCAGAGCATTTATCACAGCGGCACTTTTCCTCTCGCAGGACCCATCCCTGGTCTCCCCTAGATCAACAGCAGGGCTTTCAGGAGGGCATTGGCAGCCACTTTTCCAGTCCCGACCCAGCTGAGGTGCAGCAGACTGCACGGCATGTGGAGTCTGCCCAGGTGGGGTGCATAAGGCACAAGGATGAAGTTGGGGGATGAGGGAAAGAAATAAGCTGGTTGGAGGAAGAGGAGGACGGAGACAGGGATGAAGGAAGCTCCAGTGTTGGTGAGCCCCTTGTGACACAAGGGTGCATCCTCACAGCAGCAGCGATCTGTATTGCAATTCCCTGCTAAATCAACCCATCATAGTAACCAGGAGGTCAGCTCCAGGTCTGAGTGCAGGGCCACACAGGGACGTGAGTGGCTTCACCTGAGGGGTAACATGAGCATACATAAAAACACCACCACCGTCACACAACTGCTCCAGAAGGGGAAGTTTCACTTCCGCTGGACCAGGGAGGAGAAGACATATGACCAGAAATACCTCAGAAAAGACATGTCATCTATTTTCAAACCCTTAGAGAAGGAAACACCTGGGTGATCCCTTCCTTTGGTACCAGTATAACTCTGGGTAGCAGCAGAGCAGGGTTTGCTATTAGCAGCGATGCCCACTCCCTCTCAGTGTTAGCCCAGAAAGGAGCTCTGGACCAGCCTGGTTTACTCCCCTTCTTGCACAGGAGCCCACTGATACCATCCAGCCAGATTCACACTCGGTAGCTTATTCTGTTTTACCTACCACAAAAGCAAGGCAAAGTAAGCTATGAGAAAAAGCACCGCTCCCACTGGATGTCTTTCCCCAAGCTGGGAGGAGACCCACAAGCAAAGCCACAGAGACCGCAGAGGGAGGAGTCCATCTGTGCAGCTAAGCTAGCTGAGCAACCAGCTGCTGTTGCAAGGAGGAACTGCTGCTGGCCTCTGCTCTGGCCCTTGCCTGCAGGCAGCAGTGTTGACCAAGTGAAATGGCTGAAAGTTAAAACCAGCAGATAATTCCTGACATTTTTTCAGTAGGATTGGTCCTCTGCTAATCCATCTCCTGGCACTGGCTCACTCTGTGGTCAGATGAGCTTCTGTGCAAGGGAAGGGGAATGACGAGGTGTAAGTGGGACCATCCCCACTTGCCATTCCCCTGAGGCAAATTTACTGGTAGGTCAGCATGGCTGTACCATCAAAATACACGGTGGGAAATGAAGTAATTAATTTCTAAGCTGGACTGGATGTAAACCAGGAGGCCTAGAGTGACGAGAACGGGTGGACTAGATGACCTCCTGAAGGCTTTCCTACAATTTCTTCTCCTGTACTCAAAGCTTACTTCCCTCCCCCTATTTAATTTGTCGATAGAGCCATGAGCTTCAAATGTGTCCACAAAACACAGGACACAGCAAAGCACCTATTAATAGATCTGTTTTCAGACATGCTGTCGTCTGGCCCACCTTGCTCCTCCAGCAGCATAGCACTGTTTCCTTCAGGCTAATCGTGACCCAACTAGGAGACTCTGCAGATGAAAAAGCCAAAGGCAAAGCTTTTCTGGGTAATAAATCATGCACGCACACACATACACTCACATCTCAATAGTTAAAAAACAGATCAAGTGCAGAAATCAGTGCTTGTCACCACAAACCATATCCCCAACCCTAAACTCTGCCTGCTCAGAACCAGCAATCACAATTCATTTGCCCGCCCTTGGATTCAGTGAGACAAATCTGTGGCTGGAATAGATCCCATGGCTTCCTTGCTTTCAGCAAAGATTTACACCTCCTAGGAATTTGCCAGATGTCAAGGCATTTGAGGTTGCAGCTCTTGCACAGTTTATAGCTGGGAGGAGCCATGCCAGGGTTTACTATGGAAAGCAAGCAGTGGGTCAAACAGAAGGTGTCCAGGCTGCATGGGACCCTGTCTCTGCATTGGCTCTGAGCAGCCTGTCCTGCAAGTGCTACCAACTTCAGTGCAACAGTGTGGCTCCGTACCTGGTATTTCCCCCCAAGCAAGCTCAGAAGAGACTCATCTAGAGGGGACACAGTAAACCAACCCTTTCTACACCTTGGACGGGACTGACCCACGGACATTACGTGTCCCTGACTGCTATCTTTGCTACTCCACACAGGAATCACCAAGTCTCAAGGACAAACCTGTCCCAAAGTCACACAGGACCCTAATGCTGTCACCCTGCTCCTGCCTTTTCCTGTTCTACCTTCATCTAGTGCTGATAAAAACGTGCAAGATTCAGACTGGTCAGAGAAAAGCAACCCTGCAGTTTCAAGGTCAGCTTTCCCACGAGGCCCACCAAGGCATGCTTGGTGTCCTGAAAAGCACCATGAAGAGGGGGACAAAGACTACTTTACTCTCATAGCCTTTTGGCCATGACCACAGTAGGGCTGTTGGAGGCCCAGAGCCTTTCTCCTATCAGACAGGTCACACCCAAGTTACTCCACACGGCGTGGACAGCGTTGGAGGTCAGTCAGACTCCCTAGACAGATGATACAGAGTCAGCTGATG